TATCAACAAATTGGTAGAATAAACCGAAGATTTCAGGATTGACAAAAAGACGATCACACAAATAACTGGCAATACGAGCATCAGTAACATTCACTGCTTCACGAAGATATCTGAAACATGACTGCAACAGATGGTAGAAGGAATCAACCTCAGCAAACGCTAGCGTTTTGAGTTCAAGCCGACGAGCATAACTCATTTTCGTAGTCAAGGTCCGAATTATGGCTATGTCATTATGTCGAGGTTTCGAATTTTATTTCCTTCCTGTACACTGGCTCCATATTAGATGGAAGATCAAAATTCCAATTCGACGAACTTCCACAAGAGCTGCTACGGCAAGGTGGGTCGGAAAGAGCAACGACAGCGTTTGAAGCATCGATGTGTGCAAATCTGTCTATTCTTTGACCCGGTTGGTAAAGTGTATGGAGAAATAGCTTGAGCTTCAGCAGAATGAACCTGAAATCCTTGCTCATTTCTGTAAATGAACGAACAGCTGATCTGCGGAGAAGATGGTGCCTCGGAGGACTGGCTGGCAAGTAGGAGTGTAGTTGCCACCATACTGGTGAGTATGTTTCTCCCTCGCCTACACGACGGCTGGGAAAGCTTGTAAGAACCCTGTTACCTCCCGCCAGCGAAGTAACGATATGAAAGGGGAACAACTCACCTTCTGCCTTTGCATCAGACGTGACTGGAAAAAGAACCGTCGGAACCGCACTGGACCCGCACAAAACATTTCCATTGTGCTGCATATTACCTTAACAGAGCAAAGCAGCCTTGCCACTCCTGGCCGTGAACAATACTTGTGGCATGAGTAATGTTAAGCTCAATTCATTTCATAAGTTCATGTGCCCGGCATCGCTTCGTGACGGTGTCGTGTTGCACTGTTAGGATGGTCGGTGGCAGTCGAAGCATGAGCGACGGTCCGTCTGGTTCATTCCACGAGTTCGCCTCGCCTCGCCTCGCCTCTCCTCGCCACGTTTATACCTAAGAGAGCAAAGCGATCCTTCCACCAGACGATGCCGGGCAAGGAACTCAGGAAGTGAACCAGACTGAACATCATTCATGCTAACAACACCGCTAACGGTCGGAGGGGGAGGGGTGGCGTGACGTCCAGCATCATTCCGAGTACCCTATGAGCACAGAGTGGCATAGCATCTTGTGCTACTTTTCTTCCAGCTCGGTCAACTGATTTTTTTACAGCCTAACTTTTGTGAATGACTCCGCCCCTTGAACTCGACCTCATAATAGAAGAATCAAGGAGCAACGGTGCTGAGCAGGTGTCCCCCTACTTGGCAGCACGACGTTCGTCATGCGTCCGGCTTGGCTCGGTGATTAAACCGATGCGAAATGTTTGCACGGACATGTCAGCTTGTCG